CACTCTCAGTGTGACACTCAGTGACACCCCCAGTGTGACACTCAGTGCCTCCAGCCACGGGCTGTGCTGCTGGGCTGGAGCTGTGCTCTCACAGCTTTTGAAGGTGTTTATATAGTTGTAGTTTCCTGCAAAATTTCTTGGTTTGGATGCCCCTAAAATCTGGTGTTTCCTTATCTTTGACAGAGAAATTCTCTGATTTACTGGTACAGTAACTAATTTAGTGCATTTAAGGGGAAGGTATTATGAACCTTTGTTTTCTGTCTTAGGTTTGACATCAGGGTAGGATGATGTGAAGTCCAAGGTGAGGAGGAAGATAGTGAGGATACTACAAGGCCTGCCAATCTGGTTCTTACTGTTCAGAAAAACAAAATAACTAGACTAAGAAGCTTACTGGTAATTAGTAGCTAATGTGTTTGTAACTATCATGTGCCTTAAAATTTTCATGGTAGGAGAATTAAAAAAAAAATCAACAATGTGTTTTCTGTAATACTGCTCAACATTCTCTCTGTAGTTTAGACTGGTGGGATTTTGCATTGTATTTACACTGTACTATAAACTGAAACACCTAGAATGGTTTGATTTTACAAGTATGAAGAGGAAAAAAGGTGGATTATGCTTTTCATAGAACAAATGTTACCGTGACAGAATGTATTATTATTATAGGATCTTTCCATAATGCAGACAAGTAGAATGCTTGTTAGAAACCAGGTATGTAGGATAACAATTTGGTGTGTTTTCAATAAACCATGCCTGGAAAGAATACATGTGCCATTGGTTATCTTTTTGTTACCTCAGGTATCTCAGATATTCCTTGGCTTTGCAGCAGCAGTTTTCTGTGGCAGGGGATTATTCAACCCTAGCTCAGGTCAGTGCTCTGTGTTAGCAAAAGGTCAGTGGTAATGAGGGCAATGGAAATATCCTTTAAATGAGTGAAGCTGAACATTTTTGACTCGCTGCCAGATGCTGGAGTTGTAGCCCAGCCCTGGACTGTAGATCGTGGGATTTTTTTTTCTTTTTTTACTATACAGGCATATTTCTGTGGGAAAGACATCTGCATCACTGTTCAAAGGCCAGCACATTTGTGAGCACAAACCTAACTTGTTGATAGCTTTTCCTTTTGGGAAGTTATTAACCTTTCCCAATTTGGTAATAAAATCCGACTTGATAATAAAATCACCAACTTGTTAATAAAATAAACTTTACAAAGATTTCCTATTTCTGAAATGTGTGCAAGTATTCTCATAAATAGAATGTGTAAGAATAGCAGATCGTAGCAATGTATGAGGTTTGGTTGACATGAGAAATTGTTATTTTGGGGATGCGCCAAATAATTCACATTTGTTACTGTGGGATGGAAAAAAATCCTGATACTGAAGAGTCACCCATGTATTTAAAGCAATATCCAGGCACCAGCAGACCTTCATTCTCTCGAGGACTGCCCTGTGTTGGTGAGGTCAGCAGGGAGGCTGATGCCCCAAGCCCCCGTACGTACCCCGTGCGTCCCTGAGCCCTGGCACAGGCAGTGAGTCTCGGGGATGTTCTGCCAGGCCTTGCAGGCACAGTGGAGGTCGGGTTTCCTCTGAGAGGCTGATCAATCATTGCCAGTACCAGAGTTTGCCATCACTGAATTCCTCCCTGTACCATTCACAGCACTAAAGGTTCTGTTTAAGAGCACTTGGAGGGTCATCTCCAGCTTGCCTTCCTTATTATGCCCTCCTTGTTGCAGATGCCTTCAAAGCATTCCCAGGAGTTTTGTAAAATGCTCTCTGGATCTGTTCCTGCAGCTGGAGGATGGAGTTTCCCTGGTGCCCTGGTAAGATGTGGGCTCCTGGGCCCAGCATCCTGCTCCTGGGCCCATCCTGCTCCTGGGCTCAGCATCCTGCTCCTGGGCCCATCCTGCTCCTGGGCTCAGCATCCTGCTCCTGGGCCCATCCTGCTCCTTGGTGCCGTGGGGGTTCCGCTGCAGTCAGGAATCAGTGTTTCCTTCGTGGCTGCACTAATGTATGGCAATGAACAGCAGATGCTGTGGGTAAGGTACTGAGCTAAAACAAACATGCTGTTTTTACAACTGACCTTTTATAGCTGTCAAAATGATTTTATTTCCAGCTCCTCACAGGTTGGGCAAACAGAAGCAGTGAGTCCTGCAGGTGAAAGGTTAACCTAGTAACAATGGGCAAGAAATATCACAGCCCTCATCTGTTTAAGGTTTAAGCAGTGTCTTGGGGGAATATTCTGTCCCCGAGGGTCTCTTCCCCAGTGTCTCACTGGGAAGGTCTCTGATTCAGCCATGGCAGAATCTCCTGGTAGGAGGTGACAGGGGGGACGTTTTAAACGGGATGTTGTTTTGAGCTGACAGGGGGTTTTGCAGTGTGGCTGTTAACTGAGGTGTAGGGACAAGGGCAAAGACTGAAACTGCTGTGCTGTGCTCAGTGTGTGCACAGCAGTCCCAGGGGTGGTGTAAGATCCCTTGGAACTGAGTCCTGACTGACTGCAGCCACAGCAGGACACAGCACTGCCTGGGAGGTGTCACCTCGGGGGGACAGTTGGGATCTCAGGGGTCTGTTGCTACTCCTGTAGAGGTGTCTGTGTGTTCTCTGCCCTGTATTCAGTGTTCAGACTCTGGCTCACGGCTCAGTCTCCAGTGGGCTGCTCTTCACCTCTCACGCCGGTGGAGGAGGCAGGAGCTCTGTACAAACCTGTGGTGCTGGGTTTGCTCAGATGTCAGATGGGGTAAGGGTTGCCTGCAGGGGGGCTGTGATGCAGGAGAGTTGCTGCCTTTGACTTGTGCCACGAGGTGTGAGAACTTGCTGAAAGCTGTGTGTTGTTTTAGGGGAGTTCTTTCCCTTGGGAGCCTTCCACTCTCAGTGGGCACTCCTTAAACACGTGCTCCAGACACACAACTCCATTCCTGGTTTGGGCAAGAACAGGTTGTGTCTTCTAACTGTAATAAGATGATCTTGCAGTAAAAGTAGTTTCTTAGAA